AAAAAAAGCCTTTTTTTATGGGAACAATTTGTGAATTCTAATGTTTTTCGTCAATTAAGGTTCCCACTCCTCCAGCCCTTGCCAGCTCGACGAGTGTTCCTGTTGGAAGCTCATGTTCCAGCTCCACGGCAGCTGTTGAGCAGAATTTGCGCAGCCCCGCTGAAGATCTAGGTTGCAATGCTGTGAATGAAGACAACATGACACGTATGCTGACCACCATCCGAAATGACAGTCTTGGGATGTTGGGGGCGGATGCCGTTGACTCATTATTCGATAACGAAAGCAATGGCGAAAATAGTGCTGGACAAGTTCCATTGGTGACATCAACGGACAACACCTCATCTCCAGTGCCGTTTTCACATGAACCACAAAGTGTTCACTCGGTGCACTCGGTCAGTTAGAGATTTTGTTTTATAATTGCTCACTCTTGTATGTTTGTCTCTTTTTAGGCACCTCAGAGTAATGGTAACTGCAATCCCCCCTCTACTCCTACTGCATCTATCGCTACTCCGTCAGCGTCCCAATCAAATAGTTTCAACCAACAAGTGTCAGCCTCACAATCTACTAGTTTCCCTCAAGCATCTCCATCACATTCCTCGTCATTCCCTTTGCCTTCCCCAACGCAACCTAGTGGATATTCTCAAACGGTAGCACCCGGTCAACCATCACCTTTTACTCAGAACTCTCAATCTCAATCCTCATTCTTCGCACAGCCATCATCATCACAAAGTGGAAACTTTCCTCTGAACTCAGCGGCTCAAGCGACATCATTTCCGATGGCGCCGTCATCTCAAACTGCCGGATTCGCTACCGCAACACCTGCTCAGCCATCTGCCTTTCCACAGCAGCAAAATATAATGCAGCAGACTGTCTTCGCTCAACAGATGCAGTCAGCATCAGGATTTCCACAGCAAGGTCCCATGTCAGCGACATCGAACCCATATTCTGCACCAGGTGTTGGAGTCATGGCTGGATGTCCAGATCCGAGTTTTGTTGGGCAACAGAGCATGATAAATCCAGGATTTGCTATGAATGGGTTGGTGTTTCAAATTTTTTTTTTGCAGATTTTTGTGTTTATTTTCATACGAAGTTAAGTCTTCTTGTCTTCATCTACTAAAAAGCAATCCTTTTTATTCTTCATCTACTAAAAAGCAATCCTTTTTATTCTTCATCTACTAAAAAGCAATTCTTTTTATTCCGAGATCGGTTTTTGATCTTACTTTGGACCTTGTTTGCGATTTATAGTCCTCTTTTGCCACTACATCCTTATTTTCTCCTACAAATTAAGTCGCTGGATTCTCCATTTTCAGCTATCCTGGCTACGATATGCCGCCTGCCCAAATGAGCCAGCAACAGCTTGCTATGCAGGTTTGAATTCGTTTTTGACAATTTGTCCTTATTGAGTGCAAATGACTGCACAAACTAGTTTAGGCTCAACAACAACAAATGGCAATGGGAATGAGCGGGGGTGCGATGCCTGCCCAACAGTATCACATGGTTATGATGCAGAAACATCAGCGGCATATGAAAGCTGTAATGCAACAACGAGGTTTGTTCAGGTTTAGCTGACAACTTTTTCCAAATTTCTTGCAAAGCGGAGTAAATGTGAGATGTTCGATTTTTCAGCTGCATTAATGTACCAAGGCTATCCAAATGGTGCTGCTATGTCCCAGCAACAGTATTTCATGCATATGCAACAATCACGGTACGTTATTGACTTATGCGCTTACGGCTTTGTTCCCTTTTTTGTTAAAGATGTTCTCTTTTCTCGTTTAC